GGCCGGGGCGGGGCCTGCGCGGGCCGCCCGCGGCGCGGTCCCGGCTCTGTCCATTTCCGAGGGATCATTGTTGTGGCTTTTCCTGCAGACGTGACTTTGGGTGACTGTGTGCCACACACCACGCACGGCCTGGGCCAGGGCAGCAGGTGCAGCCTGTGTCACTTGCCGTTCGGCGGTGGGCTTCCCGCTGCCTGTGTGCGTGCACGTTTGGATTTTAGGTTCGGGGGTGACATTGTGGTTTGGTCCCCCGTGACCGCCCGCCCGCCCGGTGTTGTCAGCGTAGCTCGGAAGCGGGCGAGCGCGCCCGGGAACCCTGGAACCCGCCTTCCCTCCCGCCGTCTCCCCGTCCCCTCCTTCCGTTTTCACCTCGCAGGAGGGCGCCCGCACAGTTTTACAAAGCTCCAGGTCCTCAACGTTGCTGTTCTTGCAGGCCCGACCAGGCAGGAAGCTGGAGCGAAGATGCCCTCCCAGTCTTTCTGCTTGGCGGCCCAGGCGCGGCTGGATTCCAAATGGTTGAAAACAGATATCCAGGTGGGGTCCCGCAGGCCTTTTTCTTGGTGTTTTCCTGCTTGCACGTTTCAATGTCCGGTTAAAGCTTTTTGCAGGATGTGGAATAGTGGGCCGTCAACTGGACCTTGCTGTATTAGGCAGATTTATATCCTGTACCTGAAGCCGTGACACTTTGTTTCCGTTTTTGTAGATTGCGTGTGTCTGCATTTTAATTAAGCGCAAAAAACTTAAGATCTGGTTAAGCGAAATCTTCTTTTTATTGTCACTATTTAAGCAGTCTGTAGCAGTTAGCCATGTATTGCCAACTCTCCGTGGTGGTTTCTGAGCTGTTCAGTTAACTCTGTGGGGGGACTGATTTAGGATGGTGTGCCAGAAGGTCCTCATTTAGTGGAATCTTGTGTGTGTACTTCGGAAGAGTCAGAGGTCATTGAGCTGCTTTTTCTTTTTAAATAACTACCGCATTTCACTCTACTTGTCTATTCTAATTTGACCAGAGAGTGACAGGGCAAGAGAGAGATGGGGGCGGGGGGGCGGCCAGAAAGCCAGCCACCAGGTCTGGGCCTTGAACTGCAGTTGGCCATGTGGGAGTCCAGTGCCCTCAGCTACCAACCACTCCACCTGCTGGCCCCAAGCTGATTTTTTTTTCTGTTTGTGACAGGTCTTATAAAAAGGAGTGCTCAGATTTCCATGTCAGGAACGTGAGAAACATACCTTTGCCTTAGACTCTAATAATATTTTGCTTTAATAAGATAATTACAGGCTTGTCAGGAAATAATCAAATAAGTAATAATAGTACTATGTCTGTGGATGAATTTTTTTAAGAAAAAGAATGATTTTATTTAACTTTATTTGCTTGTTTATTTATTTTAATTTGATGAGAGAGAGAGATAGAATGAAAAAGCAAGCTGCCAGGTCCAGGGCTTGAACCACAGTTGACCATGTGGGAGTCCAACACCTTTAACCACCACGTCACCTGCTGGCCCCTTCTGTGGATGATTCTATTTTCTTTTTTTAATACTTTTTTTTCTTTTTTTTGGAGAGGTTTTTGCTATAGGGCGCGTCCGCTCGCCAGACAGAGAGATAGAAAGCGAGAAATCACCCCCCAGAGGGTATGGCCACGCCGCAATCCCTTCTCCTCCATTCTCCTCTTGGGATCTTGGGCATGCACGCACATGCGCCCGGCGTGAGGTTAAGCCACACCCAGGCGCGGCTGGATTCCAAATGGTTGAAAACAGATATCCAGGTGGGGTCCCGCAGGCCTTTTTCTTGGTGTTTTCCTGCTTGCACGTTTCAATGTCCGGTTAAAGCTTTTTGCAGGATGTGGAATAGTGGGCCGTCAACTGGACCTTGCTGTATTAGGCAGATTTATATCCTGTACCTGAAGCCGTGACACTTTGTTTCCGTTTTTGTAGATTGCGTGTGTCTGCATTTTAATTAAGCGCAAAAAACTTAAGATCTGGTTAAGCGAAATCTTCTTTTTATTGTCACTATTTAAGCAGTCTGTAGCAGTTAGCCATGTATTGCCAACTCTCCGTGGTGGTTTCTGAGCTGTTCAGTTAACTCTGTGGGGGGACTGATTTAGGATGGTGTGCCAGAAGGTCCTCATTTAGTGGAATCTTGTGTGTGTACTTCGGAAGAGTCAGAGGTCATTGAGCTGCTTTTTCTTTTTAAATAACTACCGCATTTCACTCTACTTGTCTATTCTAATTTGACCAGAGAGTGACAGGGCAAGAGAGAGATGGGGGCGGGGGGGCGGCCAGAAAGCCAGCCACCAGGTCTGGGCCTTGAACTGCAGTTGGCCATGTGGGAGTCCAGTGCCCTCAGCTACCAACCACTCCACCTGCTGGCCCCAAGCTGATTTTTTTTTCTGTTTGTGACAGGTCTTATAAAAAGGAGTGCTCAGATTTCCATGTCAGGAACGTGAGAAACATACCTTTGCCTTAGACTCTAATAATATTTTGCTTTAATAAGATAATTACAGGCTTGTCAGGAAATAATCAAATAAGTAATAATAGTACTATGTCTGTGGATGAATTTTTTTAAGAAAAAGAATGATTTTATTTAACTTTATTTGCTTGTTTATTTATTTTAATTTGATGAGAGAGAGAGATAGAATGAAAAAGCAAGCTGCCAGGTCCAGGGCTTGAACCACAGTTGACCATGTGGGAGTCCAACACCTTTAACCACCACGTCACCTGCTGGCCCCTTCTGTGGATGATTCTATTTTCTTTTTTTAATACTTTTTTTTCTTTTTTTTGGAGAGGTTTTTGCTATAGGGCGCGTCCGCTCGCCAGACAGAGAGATAGAAAGCGAGAAATCACCCCCCAGAGGGTATGGCCACGCCGCAATCCCTTCTCCTCCATTCTCCTCTTGGGATCTTGGGCATGCACGCACATGCGCCCGGC